TGCGGCCCCCGGCTGACCTCCGGGCGTCAGGGCTTTCGTGGAGAGCCCTGATCTACTGCACCGCAGTGCCAGCGTCAGGAGCCTCCAGCTCCCAGGGTGTCACTGCAGGACGGCCGGCCGGTGCCCCCGCCCCCTCATCCTAACACAGCCCCAGACACAAACACCCAGCCGGGGGTCCCTCTCCACCCTGAACAGAGCCAGGGAACGCCAAACACCCCTGGCTGCCAGCGTGCACGGACCCGGGGAAAGCTGTGACCAGCCTCCTCGCCAGCGCGGGCGCCGCCACCACGCAGTCCTCCGGCCTTGCCTCCCCAGGGTTGCTCGCCCACAGCTCCTTGGCCGCCCCCAAACGCCTCAGACGGAGACACGGGGAAGTGAACTCCTGGGACCCGACTCCCCGAATCACCTGCATTTGCATTTCTTATGTAATGTACTGCAAGTTTCCCTGTGGTAGCCCTTTAGAATCGGGGCGTATGACCACCGGGAGGCTCATAGCAGGGGCCCACGGCCTGGCTCATTCGCCCCGTGGACCAAGACGCAGGGTTCCAATACTGCCTTTTTAAGGAGGGATTGAAATTACATATATTAGAGGGGCCGGGCTTGTCTCCTCAGTCTGGGGTTCCCCGCAGACACAAGCTCTGCTCAAGTATTCCCAGTGGCAGGACGTGTTGGAGGCAGACAGGGGGAATGAGTTAATACTCCTCGGGCACCGAGAGCGAGACGGGGGAGGGAGGCGGGGGCTGACGGAGGAGCGGGCAGCGAGGGAGGGGGCCTCTTTACTTTGGGAAAGGTGATGGGGTGGCGAATATTGTGCAAGCTAATCAGAAAGTCTAGAGCGGGTCTAGGCTCCGAGCTATGTCCCCGAACCTGCAGCAGAAGGGGAGCTCGCGGTTCATTCTCCTGACAACTACTGAGGCTTTAGCGGCCTCAGGCACAACCTTAAGCCATAGCCCTTCAGTATTCCACCAAACACAGGCAACCAAATACATTTCAACAGAAAAAAAGTTTCCTCCTCCCTCCTAGTGATGGACTGTGTCACAGCCAAGAGATGCTGATCATGGTTCTGGGGTTCGCAGTGGCGGATCCAGCTGTTACCTGTTTATTCATGCAACACCTCTATATGCAACACTGTCCTGCTTCCTGGTATGTCTGCCTGCCCTCCTGCATAGCAGAACTGCAGCTCTAGCTCGCTGAGCAACAGACAGGTTATTATGAGGAAAAACAGAGCATGATGCATGTTTTGCTTACCAGTTGGATTCTTGTTTTTCTTAAGACTCTTGCCACAAAGACACTGCAGCATATGCGTTCCTTTGCTGAAAATGTTCCAAAGAAACCACATTGATTTGGGCGAAAAGCAATCCAGCAGCTTAGACACCCTGAGAAAGAAGAGATCCTTGTGGTTGCATAATAATAATTTGAAATCAGTTCTCCTGAAGAGGGGCACCGGTTTTACCATAGGAAACACGATAATATTCCGGATCTTCTCCCAGTTTTCTCCCCTCACGTGGTATATTTCTTTGAGACTTCTCAGTGATTGTTTTTTCTCGGCCAGGGTGAATGATTTATACCCCCTGGATCACCACCAGATTATTACCAAAAGGTTGGGAAAAAAATCCTTTTTCAGCACGAAGCCAAACAAAAAAGCAGAGAAATCCCGGCTGAGATCAAAACTAATCAGGGAGAACAGTAATGCACAAAAGATCCCCAAAGAGAAAACCATAGCCTTTTTACTTGGTCGCTGTGAGGATGGGTGGATCTGCAGAAGGCAAAGCAGGATTCATCTTACTGAGAGAAGACTGCCATTGTGTAGTCCCTAGGAGAGAAGGAAAAAAAAAAGAAAAAAGAAAAGAAAGAAAGAAAGAAAAAGGAAGAAAAAAAGAAAAAGAAAAAAAAAGAACACCACACACACTCACACACCAATACCACCTCGAGACTGAGTCTGACAGCCGAAGACAGAGCCTCCCTTCTCCCAGTGTCGATTTTTTTTTTTATAATCAATCGCCAGAGCTCAGTGGGATCGGATTGAACCTGCAGTTCTCAATCACCACGAAGAAAAGATGCCAATCTAGGTGCCCCCTCCCCTTGTCAGTCTTGGAGTAGGTAGAGAGCGCCACAAATCCCCTTCCTCCTTCCTCTCACTCTTCCAGTTTCCAGCAACCGTGAGCATGAGGAAAATCTCCCCTCCGGATTCCTCGCCCAGCCTTGGATGTGAGTTACAGGCATTAGAGGGAGGAGGAGGAGGAGTTGAAGTTTGCATTGAAAAGACTGGCTTTCCATGACGTAGCCACGTGCTTTCAGACCCGTCACCAGTGAGATGCTTCAGCCGGCCCGGGGAGGGCAGTGTCACTGCAGTCTCTGCTTGTGCACCCCCTGAGCCTCCCCACCCGCCAACACCCAGCCCCAGCCCCAACAGGACCCTCTCCCTCCTCCGCTGAGCAGAAGCCGGCCTGCAGCTTGCTGCTGCTGGAGCCAAATCTAACAGCCTGCTGTTAAAAGTGAATTTGGAAAAGGAAACTTAACAATTATAATGGAGTAAACCTTCGAAAATACATGCTGGGGGAGGTGGGGGTAGAAAGAAAGAGAAACAGGAGTTCCACACAGCCAAAATTAGTTCCACCTTTACATTTTCAGAAGCAGCACATCAAGTGTCTAAAACATGAAGGAAAACTCAAGTTCATCTCATTCTAATTATTTGAATTCTACCTAATGTGCAGTTTGAAACATAATCTAAATATACAACCATCTGTATTTCCAGAAGCAGCCTGTCAAAAGGGCAACGACTAAAGTATAGATGTTCTTATAGAGAGGGTCATATGTACATTAGAAAATGTGTGCCTATTCTAGACAGACAACCTACTCTCATTACTTTTTTGTACCAAAGCACCCTGCTTAGATCACATCCTAATTTGTTGCTTGTTTCTGCACCCATTAATGGAACCAACGTTAAATTCACCCTCATTTACTTCTCATTTATGCACATCACCCATACTACAATCCAACCTAACGAAACATGTAAATTTTCTATTTTCATCAAGGTATAACCCAGGTTCCCGCTTACCGAGAAAAATCAAAGGATTTAGGACAGTCTTGATTTACTTTACATGGGGGAAAAATGCAATGTACAAAGTAGTAGAAACTATTACAAAAATAATGTAACAAACTCCAGTGTAGACGCTACTCAAAATTAGCATTTTATCACATTTGTGACAGAGAAGTAAAATTGACCACTCTCTCTCTCTTTAGGTAAATGAATTCAAGTTTTAACAGTATATTTCCATTTTTATAGAAAAATTGACATGAAAATTTTAACTCTAATTTAAAAATACTTAGAAGTTCTATCTTATTTTCAAAAAATTTAAACTACTGCCTCAGATGTACCACATGAAATATCAAATAATCTTACAAACAATATATGTAGATTTATATAATTAAGGCTATAATAAAGAGTTTGATATTAAAGACAATTAGCTTCTTAATTATCCACTGTCAAGAAATGAAAATGTAATAAACAATTTTTTCTGCTGCTGGAACTTCCTAATAGTTAAGAGGCAGTTCACGATGCTAAAATGTACATTCAATATTCTGACCTTTTGGAAAGTATATCAATTTTAGATACTACAGAGAATTTTAAACAAGTAAATTCTATTAAAGTTAAGAAATCAGAATGCTAAATAGATGGTCTTTATATAAACAAAAGACTAATGTCATAGAGCTTAAATGCAGTAAACACATACAGCTTAATACACTAAAGTTAACTGCAAAGTAAGAAAGTTTAGGAATAAAGATGATAATGTCAAATGACTTACAAAAAAAAGAAGCAGACTGAGAAAAATTAAGAGTAGAATTCTTTTTTGAAAGAAGAAAAATGAAATAACACTGCCAAATAATTAGAGAATAATCGTTTACATCAATCAGATGTAAACAATCTATCATCAATAGATACTATAGGCTGCCTCTATAGCATTCTGGTGTCCTCCAAAGGGTTCCAGAAGATCCCAATATATTACCACTGGGCTAATTTCAGAGAAAGAATTGAATGAAAAACATTGGCCAAAGAGCTTTCCAACTCACCAAGCTGTAAGGGTCTGTAAAAGCTTGCTGAGTATCCTGAGGTATATAATCATTGAATCTCTCTATATGTTGTTTGTATAAAGAGCTCTTCTTGAGTTTTCAAATCCAAGTCCCTTCTCTACATTGGCACAGTGAATTTGCTCCCTGTTAAAATAAGAAATGACTGCCAGAAAGCTATGTTTTGGTGGAAAAGTTGTTACTTATTTGTCCTGTGAACTAAGGTACAACATAAAAGATAACTGACTGTAACTAGTATTTATTGAGAATCTATTACATCACACTCTGTGTTATTTGCTTCTCATATTTTGTGCTATTTTTTAAAAGGAGAAATCTTTTTTATAATGTATAGAAATTTGGATATTTCTATTTCTTTCTATATTTACTGACACAGTGCCTTATTTACTTATGCTACATAGGAGATTTTTCACACTACTAAACAAACAAAAAGAAGTATTTCATCTGGAAAATTGGAATTAATTGAAGTAATACCAATTCAGATTACTTTTGTTCCAAGCAACCCATAAGTTTCTGATGAGCTCTGAGTTGCTAAACTCAATCATGCACCAATATTTATTGAATATCTACTAGATGAATGTAACCATACACTATTCCATGTTGGATACTAGCTCATGAAACTAAACTAGGTTTCCAAACACAGAATGAAGACAAAGGATGGTCTACAAGTTAACTCAGGTTTCTGCGTACCTCCAGATCAGGAATGATTCAAAGATACTTAGCACACTGACCTGAGTTCCAGACCATTACTTAGATTTTTATTTGGAGGATATCAAAATGTTTGGTTATCCTCTGCCATGCTACATTCAAATCAACATTAGATGATGATGAAAACTATTAGAAATGAAATGCAAGCTTTAAAACACATGTAAATAAAAATAAGGGAAAGCTCACTGCAACTGTGATAATTGTCAGTAAAATCTGTATTGGATAGCTAGAATAAATATGTAAGACTATGGCTTTATAAAGCTAAGGTACCATAAACCCAGTAGTCATTATTGAGTTCTTTGGAAAATTAAATTTACTTTTATAATATCATGTTAGTCAAAAAAAAACTAAAACTAAATTTAATGGCCAGAATTTTATAATGCAATAACATATACTTCATCTAATTTAGAACATGTAAACTTTTATAAGTTGCCAGAAATCTGTGAAACTATTTCTTTCTCTTAGTAATAACACATCATCCCCACCACTATTTTGGAAGGGCACAAGGTTGCCCAGATAATGTAATTCCCAGTCCTCGTAAGAGTTATGTGTAGTCACGTGACTATGTTCTGATCAATGAGAGGTGAATAAAAGTAATAACATTCAACTTCCTGAACATATTGTTTAATAAGCTGCCTGCCTTCCATTATTCTCTCATTCTTCCAGAAAGCTGGAAATTAGTGGTAAGAGCAGCTTTGACAATACAGACAAGAAACATCAACAATGGTGAGGTATTGAGATAGAAGAAGTCTAAGATCTTGGACAGAGCCATCCACCTGTCCTGGACTGCCCAATGGCTTCTGCCCTATTAGATGACAGGAAATGAATTCTTATCTTATTTGAACCTGACTTAGCCCATTTGTACTGTAACAAATACACAAAACTGGCAACATATAAACCGAAGAAATTTATTACTAACAGTTCTGGAGGCGGGGAAGTCCAAGGACAAGAAGAAGAGTAGAGAGGAAAATGATGAAAAGAATTGATCATAAATGACTAGAGACAGAAAAAAAAAACTAATGTATAGACAAGGACATCAGTGTCTTATTTACCTTGTAAACCTCTTACAAAACTACTCATGTAGTTCACACACTTATTCTTCCTTATTGTTGGTGTGAACAAGCATGTCACTTTTGAAGAGGTAGTTCTAAATTTCACATTCCTGTACTACTCATGTATGGTATCTGTTCTCTTCTCAATCTCATCCGACATTGGCCCCTGGCACAGAAATCCTCTACTACTCTCTCCTGTAGCCAACAGTCTGAAAAGGTAACTTCAGAGAAGAAGAACTGCCCAAGGAAGGAGGAATGATTCCAGTGACCCCACTTCTTTTCTCTCTTTCTTGGTCATCTGCCTGCCTGCAAGATGTTATCAGAGTCCTCTGCTTCAACTCCTCTACACAAATCCTTTTTATATTGAATACTGAGGTCCTCTGGCCAACCTCCAGATGTCAGTATCTCTGAGCCTGAGGGATTTTTGTTCAAACCACAGAAGACCCCTCATTCTAGACACCCATGGAAAAGCCTAGGAATTAATATTCCCTAGGAGAATTCTTCCATCACTAAATACTCCAATCCCCTACCTCCAAGGATGGATAATGATGAAACCTATGCGTAACATCCTTTCCCAAGTTTTCCGGTAATATCAAGACACTGACTCCCACTGGGGAAATTAGTTTAGCTCTCTACCATGGGCTGTCTCCCCTTCCCTGTAGTCAATGTCTGCTGTGTTCTTTCCCAAATAAACTATTTGCATAAGAATTTTTATCCTCTGGGAAAAATTGAGCCAAGTCAGGGCTGGGTTTCTGGGTAAATGTGCCTCCTCTCCAGATCCAAACTCTTTCATGGATAGTCATTGCAATTTCTAGATGTGGATGAAGTATTCATGGAGACCAAATCTTGTCCACTGATCTAAATGATCTTCCTCCAAATAACCTTATCAGTATTATAACTAACACATGTATTTCTTTCTAACTTGTAGGGTGACTTTTCTTCATCAAATCTGAACTCAGAACTGGAGAGAGGGGCAGAATTACTTGACATCACATAAGATTCCCCAAACACTAGAAAATAATACAAGAAAAAAATCCCCCCTTCATTCCTATTATACTCAGAGTATAATAATAAAACAGTGAAGAACCTGCCAAGAGATAGAGAAAACCAGGTGAATTCCCTGGAGTTCTCAGAAATACGAGCTTCTCTTGGCCACATGCCACAAAGCTTCAGTTCTCAACCAAGTGAACTTTATCTTAGTCCATATAGGTAAGACTGACTGGAAAGCCCCAATTCCTCTACAGCCCTAAAGAGTACCTAGAGGTCCCTTGTTGGCACCCTCTGAGGCAGGTGGGAGTTAACCTTCAACAAGTAAGTAA